CCCCTTTCCCCTCATCACATAGGAACAGGAAGAGAGAAGCTCCTGAGGCCACTGAGATACCCCAAGCTCAGGATACTGCAGCTGTATGTGATGATCTAAATGCGAATGGTCTTCATTATCCCCGGCGTAATGGTACTTAATTTATGGATGTTTTTGGTTCATATTCATTTTTATTGGGGACTATTAAAATTGTTTTCTGCTGAAGTCAGCAAAAAGTGTAATTAAATGGTTCTTTTAATTTACATTTAATTGCTGCTCTGTAGAAGTAATTTCTTCAGTTCTTAAAAATGTATTAAGTTCCTCATTCCTTTCTTCAACTTGTTCTGTTGACCAAGGCCACTGCAGAAAATTGCCAAGGGTGCAAAATGTATCTCCTCTGCTTTCTTTGGAGTAGTTTCCAGCTCTGGTCTGTCATTTCGGGCGCCCAAAGGTGATGCTCACAGATGAATGTTGCTGGTAACTTTCCTTCGGAGACTAATTGCACTTCTCCCTTAACACACTGTTTCCAGAAGCCCCAAGAGCTTACAGCATGACTCTGTAAACCCTATCTCTCACTTTGGCACAGTATTGTGCTGCCATTGTGCTCAGCGGACCTGCTGAAAGATTAATTACAACTGAAGAAATGTATCTTTTAACTGTCTCATTACATAAAGAATTCATAGTGAAGTTAACGTCCGCATAATTTAATGATGTACGGATTTTAATTATATAGTACACTGTTAATTGTACAGCTATTTTTAGATCAGGCTACTAACTTGTTCATTTAAATGAATAGCTCATATGCTTGAGGGACTAAAATACAGGCTTTCTTAGAAAGTCAGAGATTCTTGAGACCTCTGAAAAAATATTCTAAAGTGGTAGGATATTTTTATGATATTTGCCTTTCTTTACAATGAGAACGACCTATACTTTGCCTTCATTGCTTAGGTTTTCTGACACATAGAATTCAACTTTTTTTTGGTAATTAAAAAAAAAGTATAAGAAAGAGAGATCTCTGTGCTGAATAATGGGCAGAAATTGAATGGCTGTGTTTACCTTGAAAGTAGTTAGGATTTTTTTCTCAGGAGAATTAGACACAAGTTATTTCTGAATAGAAGGGCTGTCCCTGGCTGTAATTAGTCACATGGGCTTAGTTCCCAGGAAATGTTTCCTTCAGTGTGCTTGAAAGTGTGTGAATTTTCATATTGTTGAACTTACCTTGAAATTTTATCTCTGTTTCCCCATCTGTCCCTCTCCTAAATTAAGAAATCGCAAGTTTAGTTTGTTCTTTTCCCATTAGATTAGGGGGCCTGCCAAAAAAAGTGCACATGTCCATGCCCATGTACTCTCTCTCTCTCTCCATGGATCCTTCCAATCCTGGGCAGCACTTTTAATGACAGAATTAACTGCTTTGTAATTATGCAGGGAGACAGACACCATGATGTGATGTGGGTCTTTGCCAGCAAATGGAAACCAGGAAATTCAAATGAGCAGGCTACCAGTGGGAGTGATGAGAGAAGCTTCTTGAAGTCATCAGCATGCAAAGCAGGAGAATTACCTGTGACTCATTGCATACTACAAACTTGGGTGTACCATTAGCCACGCTGTATCACCATTAGGAGCATCCATTATTCTTTCTTTTTATAGAACACTAGAGGCCCAGTGCATGAAATTTGTGCATGGGGGGAGGGTCCCCTCAGCCTAGCCTGCAAGCTCTCCAATATGGGAACCCTTGAGGGATGTCCGACTGCCGGTTTAGGATCGGGCCTAAACCGGCAGTCGGACATCCCTCTCACAATCTAGGACCACTGGCTCCTAACTGCTTACCTGCCTGCCTGCCTGATTGCCCCTAACCGCCTCTGCCTGCCGACCTCCTCGAACGCTAACTGACGCCCCTGCCAGCCTGGTTG